GCAAAGTGCAGAACAATGTAGAAAGCATGCTTTCATCCGCGTAAAATCATAAAAGGATACATCTACTTAGATTCTTGCAAATAATCCAAGAAGCTGGACCATATGAAGAAAAATGAGGCATCAGGATTGGAAAAAGACTCATTAACAACCTGTGATACGCAGATGACACAATTTTCCTTGCTCAAAGTGAGGATGACTTGAAGCACTTACTGATGAAGACTGAAGACTACAGTCTGCAGTATGGATTACACCTAAACATAAGGAAAACAAACATCCTCACAACTAGACCATCACAATGAATGGAGGAAAGAGTGGAGTTGTCAAAGATGTGATATTACTTGGTTCTACAATCAACACCAATGGAAGCAGCAGTCAAGATATCAGATGTCGTATAGGACAGGGCAAATCTGCTGCGAAAGATCTCTTTCAAGTGTTGAAGAGCAAAGATGTCTCCTTGAAGACTAAGGTGCATCTAACCCAAGCCACGGTATTTTAAATCGCCTCATATGCATGTGAGAACTGGACTATGAACAAGGAAGACCGAAGAAGAGTTGATGCTTTTTGAGTTGTGGTGTCAGTGAAGAATACTCAAAGTACTATGCACTGCCAAAAGAACTAACAAATTTGTCCTAGAAGAAGTGCACACAGAATGCTCCTTGGTAGTGTGAATGGCCAGACTTCATCTGATCTACTTTGGTCATGTTGTCAGAAGGGACCATTCTCTGGAGAAGGGTATCACACTTAGTAAAGTGGAGGGTGTATGAAAAAGGGGGAGGCCCTCAACAAAGTGGGTTGACACAGTGGCTCCAACAATGGGCTCAGGTATAGCAAGGTGGGGCTGGCACAGGACAGGGCAGTGTTTCTTTCTGTTGTGCATAAGGTCACTGTGAGTCAAAGATGACTTGATGGCACCTAACAACAACTCTGGACAAACACAAAAGACACTGATGACGGTGGTTACTTCTGAAGAGGATAAACCAGGAATATGAATGAGGATAAAACTCTCAACCACTTATGTACCTTTAGAAAAATTTGAAGTATCCATTCAAAATAAAAATTTTATTTTAAAAAATCTCTACCAAAAATACTAAAATAAACCAAAATATATTCTCCTGTTTAGAGCTTTACATTCCACAAAAACATACACAATTACTAATAATAACTCCTAACAAATTTCTCATGAAGACAGGGCCTTGGATAACTCTCAAAGTTAAATTACCATCTTTGAACAAAGTCTTCTGGGCACCTTCTGAAGAATTTCATATGAGGGGATACTGTTGTCATTTAAGTGTGGTGCGTTACTCACTCAGAAACCACTTAACCATGCAAGGTACAAAGGTGGCAGGTAAATCATTTGGATCCACTTCTCTAGGCAGTTCAGCTTTCACTGCTAATGTATATACTTCTACTTAACCTTGCTCACTTTGAAGATTCTGAATCTCAAAAAGTCATAACCCTGTGCTCAACAGGTGTGGGATGATTTTGTACGTGGTAATTTAGTGGTAATGTCTGATAACAAATGTATGAGGGACACCATTATCACACTATAGCTTTCTCAGTGGAGAGTGATTATCTAGAATGAGGAGAGAGAAAGGTATCTGAAACCAGATGTAGTGTTAGAACCATGTTGTCAGTCTGCAAACCTTGTCGAGGACATTATTACTTCTCTTTATGCAATGTTATGGTTTTTGGTCTACAAACCACTTTTGATAAGCACTATCTAGGTGGCAGAACTGGCTTGGATATTTTAATGTTACTAGTTTTTCTCATCAACTTACATATTCACATATGTAAGTGTTAACATAGTATTTAAATATTGAGATATTTTGGGAAATTGGTTTTTTAAAAAAGTCTTTTCCTATATATTTATCTCTTATGTACCAAAAAACCCAAACTCACTGCCATCGAGTCAGATCCCATTTATAGCGATCCCTCCTTGGGTTTCCAAGGCAGTATCACTATGAAAGTAGATTGTCCAACCTTCCTTCCAAGGAGTGGCTGGTGGGTTTGAACCACCAGCCTTCTGGTTAGCAGTCAAGTGCCCTTGGCACTACGCCACCAGCGTTCCTATCTCACATGTATATATCCTTAAATATTTGGTAGTCATACAATATACTTGTTACTTGTTTTTATATTATTTTTTAAAAATAGGAAATATTGTTTCAAAATTGAAGCAATTTAAAAGGATTAACAGTGACAAGTCTCCTTCCCAACTCTCTCTCAGCCTCCCAGTTCCCCTTCCCACAGATATAATTATTTATGTATACTTCACATATGGAAGCAAAATTTCCCCTTTTCACTATATTCCTTAATAAGCCCCCCAAACCAAACCTACTGCCATATATATATATATATATATATATAAAGATATATAGTCATATCCCACTCAGCGACCTCCCATATGTTTTCCAAGGCTATAAATCTTTATGAAAGTAGACTGCCTCATCTTTCTCCAACGGAGCAGCTGGTAGGTTCAAACTGCTGACCTTTGGGTTGCAGCTGAATGCCTTACTAGAGAGCCACCAGAGCTCCTTATATTTCTTAATAGAGGTTTCTTTATGAAAATTAACTCAGAGTGTTATTGTAACCAAGGCCCTAACCCACAGAAATCTCTCTAAACAGCGATTAATTTGCAAGGCAAGGACTTCTTCAAGACTCTCCTTCCCCATCGAACTGAGGCCTCATTTCCCCAGCTTCAACCTCTTCACTTTTAGTGGCGTCTCCTGTCCCATACTGACTCTGGCTATGACTGAATGTGATGCCGGTGCCAAGGCCAAAAGCCATAGCAGGGGTCCACTTGTATAATACATGTAGGAGGAAGCTGCAACTTCCTTTCCCAACATCATGCTGAATTATTCTAAAATCCATTAGAGCTTTAATCCATCAATATTTTTAGAACTGTCAACTTCCAACTCATCTGAATACACATTCATATTGCATGAAAGCAATTCTTAGCTTTTAAGGGGGAAGAAGGAGAAGGGTTAGTCATTGAGAAACTAATGAAAGCTTATAGACACCTTACAGAGAGAGAAAAAAATGCACCTATATATTCCTGGTGGACTGTAGACATGATTTTCTATGAACATTAGGTTATTAAATCTAATCTCACAAACAAGCCAAGATCAAGAACAAGGGATCTGCCAAAGAGGTTGTAACAAGGTGTATGTAAAAGGAAGATGATGAAAGAATCAATTAGATGCTAGGAAAAGAGTTCACTGGTGCTTGCTTGAAGAAATTAACTTGAGTAGAGGGCTACTGAATCTTTATATTTTAAATCTCAAGAATAAAATTATTCAAAGAATCTATGTATAACCTGATGATCAATGAACTTAAATACAAAATAAAATACGCTCTTTCAATCTTATTACAACATATGACTCTTCTTCACAAAAGCAATAATCTATGTGTTTGTAGAAATGTAATGGGTAATAATTCTTCTTTTTTAAAGCAGCATGGCCCTTCAATTAGAAAAAAGATTAGAATGAACTGACAGAAAAACATACTTCTCTAAAGAATAACCAAAATAAAGGCAATATGCAAACTGACTGAAAATTAACTGAAGAGCAACAGGAAACAGAAGCTTCCCCAGCAGCCAGTTTAGTTGGTGATGGTTTCTTTTTCATTCAATCATAGGAATAAAGATTTTACTGGCTCCCAGTCAGTTTTGATGGAATTTCATTCATTTTCTTTCTTAAATGTTTTATTAATTTTTTATTTTAAAAAGGTATATATAAATGAGTATGTTTTAAATCAGCTGAACAGTTTGGTTTTCTAATTCCTTAAAATGGGTAAAGATGCGATAGTAAGTTCACGAACTCAGAAATGATATCTTGAAGCCATATAAGCTCCAGCCTTAATTATACATGAGTCTGATAGTGTAGCTAATTTCCTGTCTCTGAGCCTCTAGATTATTACCAATTTCTACTCTCTTTATAAAGTACTTTTTCTTCTTCTTCTTCTTCTTCTTTTTCCTCTAGTACAGCTTTTACCTGTGAATTTTATAGCCTTTCAACTCTTCTGGCTTTAGGAACAAAAAAAATGTCTCAATCATTACTTCTTTTATGGATATACTCATTAAATTGAAGTAGAGTAAGCATCTTATCGTAAGAGATTTTTTATCTTACAGATAAAGAGAAAGCATCGAACCAAATGCCCTTAATATTTCTTGTTAAGCCAGAAAGCATCCCTTAGGATGGATCTAACATGCTAGCCAGGAATGTTACTAAAAGTAGCAAAACTAGCATCAGAGCTAATATACAAATTATGGATACATTTCTGGATGCACTGGTAATAATAGAACAATCCACAATTCACTGGTACATATAACCTTTGCAAAAAATGAAACATAAGCAACATTGAATGTGTTGAAAATTACAGTAATAATGTAAATGTTATATGGAAATATATATATGATATATGATTATGAAATGGAAACCAAATTGGACAAATAGAAAGAATGTTGAACCACAAATTGAGACTCTAGCTTCTAAAAGTAAGTATGTATTTTCATAGAATTTACCCCAAAATACTTTAAAGTTCATTTAAAATTTTCCAAATCTTCTAATCAATATAGCATTTGTTATAATTATATATAACACTATGTAAGTGCTATAATGTTGTGTGACAATGAAACATTCATGAGAAACTGAGATATTTATGAAGACAAGCAATTTCTAATTACAGGCATACCCTTGGAGATATTGTGGGTTCAGTTCTAGACCACCACAATAAAAGGGATACTGCAATAAAGTGAGTCACACAATTTTTTTGGTTTCCCAGTACATATAAAAGTTATGTTTATGTTATACTGTATGCAATAGCATTATGGAAAAGTTTGAAACATCATGAGAATCACCAAAACGTGACACAGAGACACAAAGTGAGCACATGCTGTTGGAAAAATGGCGTTGAGACTTGCTTGACACAGCGTTGCCACAAACTTCCAATCTGTAAAATACGCAATATCTGCGAAGTGCAATAGAACCAGGTATGCCTGTACCGTAAACTGAAAAATTTCATTTAAGCTTAATGAATCTATGTATGACTGGATTGCATTCTCCCAATAATGCAGTCTCACTATAACACCATCCTTAGATTATATTGTGGTACTACCTTAAAGGTAGTAAGTGCTTCAATATGAGCTCCTTACACATTTAATCACAAAACCTTACTGGACAGGATCACCTCCAACCAACCTTTTGCTGAGCACTACTTTCTAACAAAGATTAGAGGTTTCAACCTCACTCCCCTCAGGTTGGTATGATATAAATGGTAGCAGACAAAAATAACGTTTAAAAAAAAAAACCAAATAAAAGGCTGTACACAAGAACTTATGTTTATTGCAAACAAAAAAAAAAGAGAGAGAGAGAGAGAAAGGGAAGGACAGAAATGGTCAGAAGCACAACATATAAGGTTAAGAATTTAAAAGCATCTTACATTCTGCCCTAATGGCAGCATAATTAATAGGAACAAACGGTCGTCTTGCTGCCTGCCGCAGCCGGAGGGTATTTTTGCAGACCTGACGAGCAAATTTTGTGAAATATGTAGTGTGAAGGAAGAAAGCTTGGCGAGTCTTCACTGCAGATTTTGGACTCCCAGTATTTCGCACCGGCATCCCCTGCATGGCCTGGCGGGACATGTGACTTCGAACACGGGGATCCTGCAAAATCAGAACCCAACAAACATTTAAAGATTACAACTGATCAAAACACAGTGCCACTTGCATCATGCTCAAAGAAAAGTACAATTTAAAAATCTTCCACGGAAAACTTAGTACCCTACCCCCAAAAGGAGAATTAAAGTGTGTACTTTTTAGGAAGAAGGTGGGGGTAGGGGGATAACTGGGTAGGGGTGGAGGGATAAACCTATACTTGATTTTAATAGACTGTAACAATCCAAAATCACATTTACAATAGTAAAAAAACAAAACAAAAAACACGACGGTGTTAATCAGATCATTTAAATTTTTTAATATTAAAGGAATCTTGAGGTACTGATAGCCCTTAAAGCAAAAATCTCTGTTTGGTAGACACAGGTGCTTGACTTCTTCAATCGATGAGATTTCACCAAAATCACATTTCAACTGTCGTTCACCTCAAGACTGAGTCCATACCTTCTTGTCCCTCCTACAACAACCCAGGAAAAAGTGCTCAATTTGTATTTATTATTATATGTAAGAAGCCACCCAAATCACAATTAAAAAAAAGAAGCTACATTTTCAACAGTATCTAAAGGTCACAAATTATTTTCAAAAAAGCAACTAAAACATTTAATTGATAAACTCCTTACTTATGCTAAGATTTCCCACACACATTGTTCTTCCTTTGTCCGAGTAACCTCACAAAACCAGTATTATGAGTACCTGAAAATGTTTTAGTTGTCCCTGCCCCTCTTTCCACACCCATTCTGAATACTGTGGTATGATGGTTAGCCATGAAAATTGATTTGCTTGTTTTTAAATTATTGTATACTGTACTGTGCTTCCCAGAAGTGATCCACTCATTGAAAAATACATTACATGCGTAACATGAAAAAGACTATTGGTCATGTACCTCTGTAGTTGGGCTGGGAGACAACTTCTCTTCTTCTGACTGGGTTGGCATTTTCAGCCCTCCATATTTTTTCCAATATAGCCAACAAGTTGCACATAATCTACACTGCATATTAGGTGGGCCCCAAGAATACCACTGGTGAGACTGTGTAGCTAAATACAGAAGAGAAATAGGAAAAAAACAAAGAATGTTTTACTAATTTGTACCAACAATACAAATACAATGAAATAATTTTTAAAAATATTCCAAAACCATCTTTAGTTTACAATGTTTTATTTTTTTCCACTGCCTTACACAAGCCAATTATTAAAGTATCAACAAATTCAACTTAATGCTGCTGAGTTGTTTCCAACTCATAGCGACCCCTCCCTGAGTTTCCGAGGCAGTATCTCTATGGAAGTAGATTACCCAATCTTCCTTCCAAGGAGTGGCTGTGGGTTTGAACTGCCAGCCTTCTGGTTAGCAGTCAAATGCCTTAGTATAAACAAATATTTTTTCAGACTCAAAGTTCATTTATTTCTATTTTGTATCTACTTACTTCTATTTTATTTCTATTATATATCAAGTCCCTGCGGCACCTTTTAGAGAGAGGGTACTAGGAGAAGCATCTTTTATTATGTGCTGCATTGCAAAGGAAGTCTTTGTTTTGGTAATTATAAACACTTTTTAAAGTGTACATTTCTGGAAATAAGTCCTCAGAAAGGTACTATTATGATTAGCTTCTTAAATGTACATCAAAGTTTCTAAACCTTTGGTTCAGGACTCCCCCTGCCCCAAACACACACACACACACACACACACACACACACAAACGCAGGAATGGTATCTGCTTTCTGTTCCTTTATTTTAACCAATAATAATTTTTTTTTAAAAAAACCTCACTGCCATCAAGTTGATTTGACTCACAGCGACCCCTCCTTGGGTTTCCAAGGTGGTATCTCTATGGGAGTAGATTGCCCAGTCTGCCTTCCTAGGAGCAGCTGGTGGGTTTGAACTGCCAGCCTTCTGGTTAGCAATCAAATGACAGGCGCTCCACCACCAGAGTGCCTCTTTACCAATAGGCAAAATAAATTTAAATACTTCTCCCTTAAAAACAGAATTCCTTTCAAGACTATACACTGCAAGCCTGTATTGGCTGTTTTACAGTTTAAATTACTGCCATACAACATTCAAACTATTCCCATACTGGATCAGAAGTTTAAAATCAAAACACTGATGTTGAAACCTAAATTAATGGTGCGCATACAAATTATAATCAACCTCAGGATATTCTTCCCCAGATCTCTAAATTACCTTCATCAGATCAAAATGTTCATAAAAACATCTGGGTATCAACTAATACTTCACAAGCCAATGTCAACAAGAGAGAAATGTAATGACCCTTGTATTCAAATTGCCTTTTAGCTTATCGGGAATAATATTCTGTATCCACTATGTGTTCTGTTTAGATCAGTCCTTGCAGATATCTAGCAGCCTAAAATTCTTTCTTATAATTAAAAAAAATAATAATCAGTTGATTTTATTAAAGAACAAATCTTAAGAATTCTAAGTATTAGGTCAGGGATTTACTTTAAATTCTGAATATAAAATTTCATTCATATTTTAACATTCATTTTTACCCAAACTAATCATGACATATTTAATATTTGTCAACAAATGTGTTCCTCTTTACATAATTAACTGAAATTCAATTGAAAAGTGAGTATCATTTGATAAACAGAAGATATCAGTTCCTATCTTTCTATAAAGATAAATCTAATATTTATATAATATTAAGAAGGCTGGAGGTTCAAACACACCAGCCACTCCTCGGAAGGAAGGTTAGGCAATCTATTTCCATAGTGATACCACCTCGGAAACCCAAGGAGGGGTCGCTATGAGTTGGATCCAACTCAACGGCAGTGAGTCTGGTGTTTTGGATCTTATTTAAAAAGAAATGGATCTAAAATAAATGTTGTAAAATTAAAATGGCTTGTTCATTATGCACATAAAAATGACATAACAATCATTTAAAGGGATTTGCATTAAGAGACTACATGTGTGAAAGGCATTTTTCAAATAAAAAACAAGACAAATTAAGGCATTACCATTTGTCTAAAGCATTCTTTTTATTTTCCTTTAAATACAAATGACCTTGAAAAGAATTCCTGATTTAAAGACATTTATGATGCTACCCATGTAAAATCTTGACCAAAAAAATCTAATTATCTACAAATTGTTTCCCTTTGCAGAAAATGGTCAGATATATCTGCATGTACCATTTCTAAGAAGCCAGTAATTTTTCTGGCTCACACACCTTCCCTGGGATCAGGAGGGATAATTATATGATTTGGTTTTAAAAGCTTTTTCTAATGCCTGGTATGGAGCATGGAGGAGAGTGGCAAAAGTCCCCCACTCCTATGTCCCTAAGCAGCAGGCTACACCTACCCTCAAGTTGCAGCTGGGACAAAAACCTGGCACCAAGTAGACTTTCAATAAACATTAGCTTCCTTTCCTCTTCCACCCTAGGTCACTTTGATTGAAAGGAAAAATAGATGATAATGTCACCAATGCTTTATTAAGAGATTATTGCTTGAGATTTTAAATAAACATATAAGTGAATCAAATACTTAACAGTCTATCTCACCAACCTCATTTAACACCCAGAGCAAATAAATGTAACGCTGTCAGCCTCCGGTAGGTTTTTGACAAGGATTAACAAAATGGGGCCCTGAGGCCAAAAGCAAATGTCATAGAATAGCATCTTCCAAACTGGTGCTCACAGGGAGGCTGGCCTGAGGATTATAAGTGTGAGTTTACACACACACAGGTCTTTCCTACAGAATTATTTGGAGCCTTTAATTTACCAAAGCATACTGAGAAACTCCACGAGGTGATGTGGTATATACCTTGGGACTATGGTTTCTGCAAAGCTAATAACAACTCTGAATGAATTTTAGGAAATACTGCTGTATTCCACAAACACAGGACTCCACAGACGCAAAGAAAAGGAAAGTAAATGCCTAAATTTACCATCTGGTACATAATACATGTTCAAGGAACAGGTTTTTGCTCCAGACAGAAGTAATGATGGATACCTATTCAATTCTGAGAATCAGTACCGACAATGCACACCACACAGTTGTTCAACATCCACCCCATGGTGCCAGCAAAGTTCCTTGCACTTGATGACAGGCCTCCACTGAGAAAATCAAGCCAGGGCTGGGGAAGACTTACCGTAGCAGCTCTCACAGGCTCGCCCTAAGAGGGGATTCTGGGGCTGGAATGTGGTCCCCACAGCTCCGTTCACAGTACCAGGTTTGCCATTGCTGGTGGATATTTGGTTGGGATTTGGTTTGCTGCTTTCAATAAAATGTAGAGGGAGGTGATAAAAAAAAGATTTGTGTAACAAGGCAAAAAGGCTCTAGATTTCATTACTGACTTTTTCAACTATACATAAACATTTTTAAATGTTTGGTGAAGAAGAAATAAAATAATAAAAGCAAGGTCCTAAAATGAATCCAAACCACTAATTTTCACAATACAACCCTTTACCGTCAAGTTGATTCCAACTCAAAGCAATACTGCAGGACACAGTAGAACTGCACCCCATGGAGTTTCTAAGGCTAAGAAGCAGATAGCCACATCTTCCTCCCATGGAGAGGCTGGTAGGCTCAAACCGCCAACCTTTCAGTTTGCAGTCGAGTGCTTTAACCTTGACTCCTCTCATAAAAGAAAGGTATGTAAAAAACTGAACTCTTCTGCCTGATACTCACAAAATAAACACAGCTATCTATATCTCTTCCCCACTCAAATATAATTTCCTGAGAATACAGTATTCTCTGGTGCTTTTGAAAGATAAGAGTTATTAAGCTTTCTAACTTACTGCTGCTGGTGTGAGAATTGATGGTTCTACACATTGGCTCTAGAGCGAGCTGCCTAGAAGATCTTCAGCAGAGATACTGTCTAATTCAACAGCCATAGCTCTAGAGGGAAGTTAGCTTTTCAGGGGGCTTCTGACTGCACATGATACAAATTTCTACTGTGTTTGAATTATTATGAGGAAGATTACATTGCATTTATAATTAGAAAAGTTAATATAGGTATTTTGAAGGGTTTTGTTTGTTTTTTTAAGAAAATCTTCTTTGAAGAGGGGGAGGAAAAAGGAAGCTAAGTGTAAATTTTCCAGAGGCCAAACTGACACAGCCACAATGCCTTAGAAACATGTACCCCAGGCTATGTGGATACTTAATGTGTGAACATGGCTAACTACTCCCCATCTACGGCTGGCAACCTACTCCCCATACTATAAAGCTATGTTCAAAACCACTGTACAGGTGCTGGGCATGTACTATGTTCTCAGTAAATTCATCATTCATTTAACATATATGTATTCAGTGCCTAGTAAACAATAGTCTCTGACTTTAAGAAGCCTTCACTCTAGAGGAAGAAGACAGAAAAGAAGAAAATTAATTATCAAATTATTTATTACAAATGAATGCTGAATGAATAAATGCACAGTGCATTCTACTTTCATGGCTACTGAAGTAACAAGAGCTCACAACTACAAGACACTTGGAATCTAAATAGAGTCCACTCAGGGGACTTTGCTTCCCATTCCCAAATTTCATTTACCAGTCAAAGCCTAGTGTGGAAACCTGGCCTGTGGAGTATGAAGGCTGAGCTGACAGCAAAGACCCTACTACTTAAGATTTCTTGCTGGTGCTGCTACTATAACTCTTAGGTGACACCTCCCCCTCCCGCCTCACTAGAAATTATTTAACCTCTGTGTGCACTGGGCTCCCTACTCTATAAATAGGGCTATTATTTACACTTGTAATCTGCACCAGCCATGCATTTTTAAGAAAAATAGGTTTCAAAAACACATTGTAAGCCAAGCAGAGTGTATTTCCCTTCTTACATTTTTCAATTGAAAACATACAAAATGAAAACCAGGGATTTAGGATGACTACATTTTCCAAGGATATATAATAATATTTCTGTCTTTTTAAAATAGCTACTAGATGGATGGAAATGATCATCCTTTGAGGCCAGAAAAATAATAATAAAAAATTCTGACATTTAACCTAGGTCAAAATATGTGTTTAAAAAGAGCTAATATAAATTTACAGGTGAGCAGCCTGAAAAAAAGAATGATAGTAAATACAAATTCAGTTGTTCAACTGAATCTGGAATGTTACTTGATTGAATAAACCACTGGCCTTAATTATAATAATCACAAAAGAAAAACAAGAGTGCCAAGAATACAGACATGTGAGTCACTTAAATTATGTTGTGCAAAAACCAAGGTACCAACAGATTAATACTCAGTATTACCATTTAAATACATTTCTCTCATTTAAAAAACTCCTCCACTATCCTCAAATCCAAGAGCTCTCTCAAATGCCCTTTCCAGCCAGGTGAGAGCTGCCAATATTCAATCTACATTTCCTCAGCTCACATCCAACCCTCACCACTCCATTAAATATCATCAATGACCTCCATGTGGCTAAATTCACAGGTGATTTTTCACCAGCATTTCTCACTGTTAAATTGGTCTCCCTCCCTGAGACACAAGTCTCCCTCAGTTTCTGTAATACTTCATTCATCTGGTTTCCTCTTAGCTCTCTGGCCACTCCATCATGCTCTCCCCTACTCTATCTGATTTATAAATATTGGATTTATTCAAGGCGTGGTACAAGTTACTTTTTGCTTACTAGGAAATCTTACGTGTGGCTTAAATACAGTATTATATACTGATTAAGTTTAGACCTTCCCTCAGAATTTAATATATCTAACAGCTTATCCTCTCTTTTTTTTAGTTAGAACAAACTCATCAGTCCCTAAATTGGTTCTTTGCCACCATTTTGTAGCCTGATGAACACATGTCAATCTCAATCTACCTAGCTGTGCTAAACAGAAACCTGGGTCTCATCCTTCCTCTTCCATTGCCATAACCAGCCAATCACCTCTGAATCCTGTCATTTCTAGGGCCACTAAAGGAGCTCTGGTGGCATAGTGCCTAAGGCATTTGACTGCTAACCAGAAGGCTGAAGGTTCAGTCACTCCTGGGAAGGAAGATTGGGCTATCTATTTTCACAGAGATACAGCCTCAGAAATCCAAGGAGGGGTCACTATGAGTCAGGTCCAACTCGACGGCAGTGAGTTTGGTTTGGTTTGGTTTTGGACTGTAGATCAAGAATAGAATCATCTTCTCACTACAAGAATATCCGAACTGGTCTTTCTGCATCCGCTCTTACCTCCTCCTTCAAATAACTTTCCAAAATACAGCCAGTGATGTTCTTAAAGTGAAAATCTGATCATGACACATCCCTGTTTAATATCCATTTCCACCTTTCTTTGGATGGATCAGATTCTTGGCCTTTGCCTACCATACAAACTCCCACATAGCTCACCACTCTCTTTTTATCCCAGGCCCACTGCCTTTATCTCAGCCTCCAAACTATGCCCCACCTCTCTTCATCTCAGAATACCATTGGCTGGGATGTCTCTGCTACCTAGTTAATTGTTCCTCATCTTCTAGAACTCATTCAAATTCATTTTTTCAAGGACGCTTTCCTGATGGCATTGACTGAGTAATGGTCACTCAGTATAAACTACCATAGAAGCTATTCTTCTTTATCATAGAGCTCATTACACTAGGTGCTCAGGTGATTGATGTCCACACTGGAATATAAGCTCTAGAGGAGGTTCTTAAACTTTCGATCTCTAGTACTGAACAGAATGTTTCACAGATAGGCTTCAAGGCTCCACAGAATGGTTGAATAAAAATAATTCTTAATTTACTCTTTGTGTAAAGTATTCTGTTTCAGAGTTAATTGGAAAATCCATCAAGGGTCTTCAGCTCCTTACGCTACCCAATAATGCAGCTGTACTGGATATTTACTATTTATGTATATGATGTAACTTTTTAAAAAGTCTGACTAGAAATTGAACCACCAGCCTTCTGGTTACCAGTCAAATGCCAGATAATAAGTGTTTTAGTCCCTGTGGATAATATGATTTCTATTGCAATCACTCAACTCTGTTCTTGCAGAATGAAAGCAGAAACAGAATAATATATAAATGAATAGCTCTTTTTCAATAAAAATTTATTTACAAAAAAGTGGCTGGGTCAGATTTGGCTCAGAGACTGTAGTCTGCTAACCCATGACTTAGAGTAAGACTCCAAGGTCAATGTAAAACAGCACAGAAACAGTTATCTGAGTTGCCTTGGTCAAAACTGCTTAAATACACTTTCCCTTTGATGGTGGCAGCATCGTATGTTTGCTCTTGAAAATCTTAAGACTTACAACAGTGTCTTGGGGGTGAGTGGTACTTTCGTCAGTTAGTCAAAGTACATAATTTATGAAGAATTAGAATAACTAAATGTAAGATTTAGTTTGATTTCAGTTTACCAAAATATAAATTTAATAGGCTAATGTGGCCAGTGGCTAAGATACTAGAGCCAAAATGAGGAACAAGTAGAACACTGAGCTTTAAGCCCAACGGACTACAGAGAAAAAAAGATTAGCTATTAGGAAGCTAATGATGGAAGCAATGAGAGCCACAAGGCAGGTTTCAGTTAGAGAAAACATTGAGGATATCAGGAATATATATTTTCATGAGTGACCATCAATTCCAGAAGACAGGATGGAGAAGAATTTCAGGAGTTAGGGAGGGGTGAGAGAAAAGAGAAAGAAGGATGTATGCATAATTCTTTCTATATGTATTATCAGATCTTTAGCTTTTGAGGAGGACAGGGTTCACATTTCATTCATTTTCCCTTGCAGAAACCAATACAACGTCTTGTACAATGCTGGCATTCAATAAGTATTTATCAAATAAATGTTAAAAATTAAAAAAGAATTAGAAACTACTTTGCAAAAAGGATATTATCAAACAAATAAAGCAAAGGAACTCTGGTGATATAGTGGTAAGACATTTGGCTGCTAACCAGGTCAGCAGTTCAAACTTACCAGCTGCTCCACAGGAGGAAGATGAGGCATTTTACATGTTTTAAAAATTAAATTGTAGATGTTTGTCTTGAGATTTAAAGAGTAATAGAATGGTCAAAATGGTCATGCTTTATTGTCTACGAGGCAAACTAAATAAAAATATCCACTAAGCAATATACCTACATTCAATAATCAAAAGACTAGGTATAAAGAACTAGATGGTGCCTGGCTACCACTGTCAACTACTCAGGAAGGGATCAATGTAGGAGTCCCTGGATAAAATGTGGAATGAAACTCAAACGCATAAAAAAGACCAGGCTTACTGGTCTGATAGATTGGTGAAACCCCCAAGACTATGGCCCTTTGTCACCCTTTGGGTCTGGAATTGAACTTACTCCTCCCAC